GGCCGTTTGGAATTTGGCATCACCGCCGCCTGCCGTGTGCATCGGCTATGCTTTTTGCAGCCCTGCAGTCGCATTTTGAGTTGCATACATTTAGTTTGTTTTCCACCGWTTCGTTTCGATATGGTACGGTTCATTAGAATTGTTAACGGCTTTATAAATACATATTAAACAACATCGATGGCATAATTTGCCGGAAAAAGTGCGCATAATACTTGATACCCAAATTAAGCCGAGTCGGAGGGTTKGGGCCAGGGGTTGGTTTATTCTGTGGTTGTGATTGCAGTTGCATTCAATTTAGGATAAATGGGTCCTATTGATAAAGTCGCTTTGCATTTCTTGAATGGGTGAGATAAACAAAAAACGCGGAAGGGATTGGTGGAACTGGCTAGTGAAAACTGTGTATGATTACATATTTGAAATCTTTGAGCAGGTTGGATTCAATAGTATCACCAAGCTATTGAATAACATTGCTCGATAACCACCAAACTTCGAGGTGTAAAGCTTGTGGCGGTTGAAAGGTTTGAAAATTTTACAACCGCTTTCAACTGAATCTTATTTAATGGTTTCATACGAGTCCATTCAAATTACATATTTATCCCTGCGGTTATGGTAAATGAGTGTATATGAATATTCCACAAAAACATCTGCCAAGTCCTGATAGTGTCGAACTGTGATTTTAATGAAACATTTACACTTTTCAGGACCTAATGTTATATATTTAGACAGAAGACAGTTTTATGATGCTCGGGATTTTGTCGACCCAGAAGATTGCTCTTCCTTCGGGTTTGTGTAAATCGGATCAGCACTCGATATTGCTTTCCAAATTTATTAGATTGCCTGCTCTAAGTACATATGTACACACATCCACCCCTCTATATTTTGTATATGAACGTATGCGTGTGCGTGCGCCAGCACATATCGTTGCACACGTGTGTGTGAAGGAGCACTTACATGTTTTCGCAATTGAAATTTTTTAGTGTTTTGCTGTCACTTTCATTAAATTCTCGAACTCTGTCAATATCATGGCGATTTTGCTGTTGTTGTCTCACTAASAACAGGGCCATTAAAAGTATTGTGCTGCCGCCACATAACTTGTCCTTCTCAAAGCGATCCTCTCCCAGCATTTTTTCCCCCATAACAATGTCGCCTCTCCCTCCGTCAACAAATTGCTTCCCACAATAAAAAATAAGAGCAAAAGAAATTTACTAAATGTTTGAAAACTGAAAACAAAAAAAAAAAAAAAATGTAGTAGCCCCACAAGCTGCATTAAAGAATGGTTGAAAGAAAAACATGAACGAAATCCTCCCATCGCTTGGATGCTCGGCGCTCGCTCATGTCCACCGATTTATGCGGCGAATTGTACGGCTGCCTCACTTTTTTTAGCACTCAGCCGGCTATTGTGGGCCAGCGTTGGCTTTTTCATTGCTGCAATTGTATTTTTGTTGTACATGTTGTTGTGCACTGCGACTTTGGCAGACGGCTGTGGACGCGGCCGGCGCGTTTTTTGCTGCCTGCCTTGTTGGCCGGTCAGTCGAGTGTCGGAAGTCAATCAAAAAGCCCGATGTCACATGCAATTTCTTAGGCGATTCTGAATTGATGAGCGCGAAATGAGCGCGAAACGCACTTTGATTCATTTGAAAAAGCCGCAACCGCTAGATTGAACGACTTGCCGCGCACCGACTTGAAGCCGCAAACGCGAAAAGAACAAGCAGAACAAGAAAGAAACTAGCTAACGAATACTTGACGGTTGTAGGGATAAGGCGGCAAGGATTACCGAGATACCAGCATTCCTATACGTACACACATGCATTCGTGTGGCATGTGGCCGCAATGAGAATTGTGTGTTTTCGCGCGTCGCTCAAGAATTGTAACATACAATTAGTTCGCAATTGTTTTTGAGTGAAAATCGGGCCATTAAATTGGCAGTAAGGCAACGCTACGCGGCAGTGTTTCATCGTTGCGTTACAAAACGACAATTTACAATATGCCCCATGCACTCATAAATAGTGTATGTGTTGGAGACGGTGGAATCTCGGAAGCGCCTCTGACTGGCTACCACAATTCGATTAAAGGGGCAAATCTTCGCTCTAAGTGCAAGTGTGTGTGTGTGTGTGCATGAGTATAAGACCATTAGAGTGAATTACTTTGCCGACGGCAGTCTCGCTAAGGCGACACCAGTGATCTTCCGTGCATCGTTATTGAAATTTCCGAGTGCTACAGGGCGTATGTGTGTAATTTGTGCTCGCTTCCCTGTCCACTCGTTCATAAACGCCAAGCATCGACAAAACAGCTATTTGCATATCTACTTGAGACGAGTTGTGTTTCAAAGTTTGTTTCCAACTTTGAGTTAGCAAAGAAATTTGTTAAAATACTSATTTGTAATGTGAATAATATCGGCAAGCGCGTGAGGAAATCATAACCGTCGGAGTTGGACACAGTTAGCAAACGTGAGTTTATATCATTTTACATAAGTATTACTGAGTAAACAGAATAATGGAAACTTGCTTAAAACGCAGTGAATATTTATTGAAACGAAAGCTTAAAACTTGTGGCAATCTGTTGAGTTTTAAGAATGCAAATTTTTGAATTTATTTTTTAAAATTTAGTTGTCTAAAGTATTCAGAGAACGTTGAGAAACTTAAATACTAAAGCTCAAGGGATGTGAACCGGTAAGCGTTTTGGTGAGACGATTTTGAAAGGGAAATTGAATTGAATAATACGATTTTGAAAGGGATTTGAAAGGGAGTTGTTTTTATGTAGTTCGATTGCGAAATAGAAACATCCTCCTGGCAGCTGAAACAGTGCAGTGTGTCGGTTACATTTCTAATTTTTCCAATTTCAAAACTAAAGGCCAAATGCTGTACACAATTTATGCTCTTCGTTACCACACTGTATATAATATGTAGTTAAAGGCGTGTRTGCGTGTGTGCGTGTGTGCGTGTATGTACCGTTAGCGTCGGTAAAAGTACAAACGCTTCTCGTGTGCTCGTCTTAATGGGCGGCAATTGCTTTTGACATGCAAACAACATCRGTATCCAAGTGATAACATCGAAATGTACGAAGTTATCATTTTCTGTGCCATCGCCGGTCTATCGCTCGCACTTTAATGTGTTTTGCATGCATTACAAATGCAAACAAAGCGGGAAAACAACTGCTATCAGCGTCTTAATTTGCGTTTGTTCTCGGAAACAAATTCAAATGCTTGAGGCCGATGTGTGGCTGGGCGGTGCACACTATCCCTGGGAGAGGAGTGGAGTGGAGTTCAAGTGTTGCGACCACACGAACATGTTTGCAAACACCTGAGGAGTAGTTTTGTTTTAAAAATATGTTCAGAATTTTCTACTTTCGGTAATGAGTTTTAAGGAGTTAAAGTTTTTGAAATTTATTTTTTAAAATTTAGTTGCCTCAAGTATTCAGAGAACTTTGAGTAAATTTTATGCTAAAGCTCAATGAATGTGAACTAGTAAGGGTTTTYGTGAGACGATTTTGAAAAGGAAACAGAATATAATCCAAGTAAAGTCGTTTTTATGTGTGAGAAACGAACCAGTTTGAGCTTATTAAACTATTTGAAATATACTATTATTTATATAATAAAATATTCAATACAGTGAAAATTTTATTTACGAATAAAGGCGAAAGCGCTTTTCTCGGTATAGGAATCCACAGGCTTGTAGTTGAGATTTAATTTGAATATGTTCATAGAAATAAATTTCATTGAAAAAAAAAAGAATTTAGGGCTGCTTCTCAATGTCTGGTTACCAGCCTTTCTGTTCAGTTAATGGAGATGTCTGCTGAATAGAGCGTCCATTAAATAGAGATTTTACTATATTTTTCATTTATGAATTGTTTTTACTAACTTAGCGTCTAAGTTAGTTCAAACTGGACACACTGTGCTACATTTTACTAAAATCGGTTCAGTAGTTTAGGAGTTCATCGCGAACAAACAATATATTATAACTCCATATCCATATATACATATATGTATATTTGTAGGCACGTACGTTAAATTACTTACATGATTACCGCGCGACGTCGGAGCGATTCCCGTAATCAGCAAGCAACATCTCGTAATTATGAAAATTTCAAATCCACTCGACTTAAGTTCCTAAATCGCTTGTAGGTTTCAGGTAATCCGCGAATGTAGACGCAGATAATTTAGTAGTCTAATCACATTGTGGGCATCAGCTTCGGCTTATTTCGTCTGTCCATGACAAAGGCTGCAGATTAAGTAGCACTTGATGATTCGTAAAAATGCTCCAGTCAACAGTTTAACACCAATTACAAATGCGATTATCTTGGAAGGGCGAGATAAATTGGGAAATTCACCTGTTCAGTGGCCTTTGCATCTCTGTGCGTTACAAAGGCAGTCCACTTAGCAAATTAAACTTTCATCAGCTCGTTAAAATCGAAAAGAAAATTATCACTATTCGTTGTTTGGTGAATTTTACTCTTACTTGTACTCGTATTGTTCCCCTCTTGTCTTCCAGCCGAGCAAATGCGTAGCACATTGAAGGTAACAACTAACAACAGCAAGAAAACAATAATAGCTCGGAAACAAATCACCAAAGGTGCATGGGTCAACATCATAATCTAAAAGCGCATCTGTACAACAACATTTCGAAACGGTTATAATGAGCCAAATCGCACGCAAGTAACTAAACAACTAAGCGACTGAGCGGCTAAGCGGTTACGCATTCCAGAGACGTGGCAACAACAGCCAGATGCAAGCTAAACGCGAAACCCATAAATCATAATAAAGCCTTCGCTGACGAATTGCTGCCCCTCCGTTGAACACTCCGTCTTCAATTTTCACGCTTTGTTTGGATCCACACTCTCGTTGCCGACGGCTCGGGCAACATTTATACAACGCAGCGTCACACGCCGCGCAGTCCGAATGCCACTGCTTTTGGCAATGCCCGAACCAGAACGTTCTCTGTCTCTAATGACAGTGGCCGACGCTGCCGCCGCAATGTCCGAGGCGGAGGTGACAAAGTCGCCAACTCGAACTACTCCAACTGTGGCTGCGACAACCAGGCCGAGTGCGCCCAGTCAATTCATGACTATCAAACAGCAATCAAATACAGTCATAGCCTCAAATGTACTGACATCAACAGCAATAGCAACAACAGCATTGACAACAACGGCCACAGTAAACGCCGCATTAGCCGGCACAATGCTTACGGCAATGGCTCCATCGAGTGCGTCGATAAGAACAGCAGCCACTACAGGTGTTAATAGCCAAATTACAGACGAGAGAGGTAGCGTTACCTCGCCACATCATCACTCAACAGTTGGCGTTGTTAGCAGCAATTATGTAGTAAATGAAATTGCCAYCGCCAGCAGCAGCAAGCCCGACGGAACGAATACAGTCGACGTAGACAACATCAATGGCAGTGTGCTTGGTGGCCGTTATGACGGCGTGTCCGATACTTCATCAAATCGACACCATCGCCGACATTTGAATGGCAATAGCCAGCAAGCTAACTACTGCGACGACGACGGCCACGACGACAGAGACAAGGTTAATTGTTACGCTTCAGGCACCCGTTCCCCTCTGTGGCACGTCAGCGATAAGCAAGTCTCCCCCGCTGCCCCAACAGCTCTAACGTCGGCAACAGCTTGCTGGCATGGGTGTTATTCGCCCACTCGCCACCAAGAGAATGAATCATCAATTAGCGCTGATGGAGTGACGACAGMACCATCGCCGCATTATCCGCAAATTCACGTCAAACAGGAATTCCCTCAAACGCAATACATGCAAAACGAAGACGAGGTTGCGCACGGAGATGAAGAGCGAACAAATGATAACGGACAGACGGTGCACACAGTTCCAGCTGCTCCGGTCAAGAAAGGTATGTATTGTAATGTTCTCGGATGATTTAAATGTCATAATATACGTATGTATGGATGTGTGTAGGTGCAGCTTCAATATATGTAGGTAGTAAAGGTTCTGGGTTAATCCATTTTAGTTAATACGGAACATATTTTGGTATCAAATTTGGTACCTTATTGCGGCTTCGAAATTCGAATGGATATTAACTTAAYCTAGTAGAATAGTGGCGTTAMCGTTTAAATTTGGTGCTTTCTCCATATTTCTGAAAATCGGAAACACCACAGTACACCCTGTGCGTCTAACGCCATTTAACTGGCTAATTATGTATTTCTATAGCTAAAGTAAAGCAACGAAAGACTCGCCCGGTACCGTCAGAAGGTTTCAATGACATCAATATTCACGAAAAAAAAATTATRGAACAAATTATCAGTACTAAACAATTATCAGTAAAAATCTATCACTCCTTCTAAAGATGCAGCGTATGGGCACTGGAAATGGATAGAGATCTTGGGAGGCATCTTGGGTTGATGGAATCCCTATAATCATTTAAAGCTCTATTTTTCTGAAATGCTTCTTCTGTATGCTTGCAATGGGATGTTTTAATATGAAGGTCCGATTGCCTTTTAGAAGCAAGGAACCAAACTTCTGGCCAATTAATAAATGTCCTGCCTGCCGTGATACGACTTGCCACGGTTCATAGAGCTCACTAATGCTGAATCGTTTAAGTTTGAATTTCAATTTTCCATGAGCCCATCTAACTTTGAACTACCCCAGTAGGAGGGGGCATTGCGTGAGGTATTCAAAGCGGGCAATATGGTGGSAAGTGTCTCTTCACAAAAACCCGCCGCCACTTACTTTCAACACCTTCAAAATATAAGCTGTGACAACAATAATAGCAGCAAACATATGCTCGGAGCATTAATGTGTGGTTGTGTTCGTTGTGTTCGTACAACACGAATGAAGGTTAAAGCAACAAAAAATTGATCATAATAAAGGGGCGTTCAAAATTCAATAATCGAGAGAAAACAAGATGTTTCATCAATTGGCCCATCCAACCGTTGCCCTTCAGGAACACACTTSTCTTAAATAAATGTTTGATAACGACATCCACACATACAGGCACACAAATCACATGTACATACCGAAACGAAAGCAGACAGTTAAACAACCAGAAATCATTTATATGAACCACTAAAGACTTGYGAGCCAGCACTTGAGCGCTCGTGTCACTTGGTGTTATTCGTGAATCCTTGCCGCTCAGTCCCATTTGCACGCTCCATCCGCGCCGGCTCGTTTTTTACCACGCCACTGCAAGTGGGTTAACATATGCACCCCTTTAATTTGTGACCCCGCACGGACGTCTCAGGTCGGCACAGCRTTCGGCAACCCTTTCAATCTTCATAAATGTTGCCAATGTACTTGCGACATTAACTCCTTCTGCTCCGTTCGTTTTGTAAACACATTCACACACACACAYATATACACATGSGAWAATATATACTAGATGAAGTGAGGCGGGTTTATTGGTGTCCAGCAACAACAAAATTAAGCTTTTGTTGACACTACCCGCAGCACCCACACAAGCCGTGAATAATACTCCAGGGCACTGTGCAGAATCTCCATCGGCCGTCCGGGCGCGTCTTTATCGCGACGCTGGTATCAAGTGTGCCGGCATTCAATTTGGGGAAATCACTGACTTAGAGCTTAGTCTCGAGGAAGCAGGTCACTGATGTTTCACCGAGTTTGTTGCACAGCAGACGGCAAGTGAAATGGGAATCCTTTAAACGCATAAAAAATTGAAAATCTCATAAGTACTGTTCCTTGGGTGCAGGGTTGCGATGCGTGAGCGGAAGTAGGAGTTGGTCACTTTTTCATTTCAAATAGACATAAGCAGGCAAAAGGGTTAAGTTGTTTATGAGTGCGTGCAAATAGACCCACATAGCCGTACACACACACCTACATACGTGCGGGGGACTGGACGAGTGTACGACGTGTGGTCGGGTTGTACAATCTGTTGCTGCGAAAAGTTGTTAACAGTTTGTAAATACCTCGTTTTTCACTTTAACACTTACTTTTGGCAATTTAGGCGTTCAAATAGAAATCGGTCATACCTAAACACATACACCCGTACATAAGTACATACGCATGGGCGCAACCCCAAACTGTGACAGTTTAGTTAAAGAAATCTGTGTGTAAATGTCATTTGGGGCAAAAGTTTTCTGTCAGCTGGTCTCACTTCTTTGGGCGTTTTTAAAYTGATGACTAAACGATCAGATGGAGTTCGAAAGCGGGATTTCTAGCTATTTCGAGATGATTACAGCTTGCCATATACTACATACCTATATGGAATACCTATAACCGAGGGAATGCTTTAATGCCATTACGGTAATAGAGGCTAGGCGCCAACTTCAAATAGTTCGTTTTGTTAATGATTATTTAGTGCAACTCGGCATCTCATTGGCGACTGGTATCAGCACAGCTTAAGTACGGAAAGTGGTGGACTTGTGCAATATTTTGGTTGAGAGGTAAGGTGGAAGTGGTAGGCGTCTTTAACTGTAAAACATTAGCTTTGCCTAACCGCTTTTGTATTTTTATATGTTTTGCATGTGCGACTGCTCTACATTTGCGTATGTAAATAAATGATCTACTTGGGAAGCGGAAATGTTTGGGTCACATGCAAGCCAGCGCCGTTTTGATGTTCCGAAGATTTGCTGCGGTAATAGGAAATTTTTGAGGGTTATGTATAATTATGGAATTTAATGTAAGCTATCCAACAGGTGAGCTAAAACCGAAGAGGAAAAYCACACAACTACAAATGCATATACGTGGGTTRCCATTTATATTTCGGGATTAGAGTATAAAAACAAATATTARTTATTGAAAATCGTTTTGTTGTTTTTCGAAATATTCTACATTTAGATCTGTAAACTTTTGAATACGTTTGAACCAAATGTCGAATTAATTTTGTCACTCTGTTTGAGATACATACATACATACATATATAAAACATATCGAAAAGCATTGACCTTTTGGTTTATCTTTTTCGCACGGGAATAAGAAGAAGTCGTTCGGTGCTAAGTCAGGACTRTACGCAGGATGGTTCATAAAATCGAAGTTTTGAGTGGTCAAAAATGCAGTTGTTTGAGTCGATGAAGGTCGCATTGCCGTGGTGATAAGTGAACCGGCAGCTACTTAATTTTAAGTGTTTCGGGCGGAAACAGCTTTGTTTGATTCGGCTCTTTTTGAAATAACCATACAATCGAGTGCTCTTTACTTTAGGGCTCATTCGTGTAAATCCACGATTCGTCATATTTCACTATTCAATAGACGCATTTCGTAGCACCGTTATGGTATTTGTTTAACATTTCTCTAGCAATGTCAAAMTTTACGATAAAGTTGCGATTTTCCTCATTACGATACTGGAGTTGCCAACTGCCGAAATATAAAAGGGAACCTACGTATACATACGTACTAAGAGGCAGATAGAAAATGGACAAAAATCAGAAAGAAGCTGCTGCGCACTCACATATACCGTACGCTGACCACATTACGCGTAGCACGCCACCGGAAATTAAARTCATTTCGAAAAATCCAATGCTGATATCTCTGAACAAAAGAGATTCATGCACACACGAGACTAAAAGCCCAATTGGCTGACAAATGGGCTTCCATGCTCTACTGTGTGTATGTATGAGCTAAATATTAAGCATATAAATAAAAGTAATGCAAAATATACAATCGAATTCAAATGAGCATTTTGAACCTGCCGAAGCGGCATAGCTAAACTTAATGTTATTTGCTGATYTCTCATGCAACAACTATGTGGAGAGTAGAAAGAGCGCACTTTTTAATTAAAATCCAAATCGCCATCCGAAAATGTGCCAACAGCGTCTAATTGGAAAAATCAATTTTGTAAATACTTGTATGTATGTATATGTATAYGTGCATGTACATGCTATTGTGTTTGYATGTGTGTGTAAACAYGCCGATTTGTCTCTCAAARTGCAAATTACATCTCATTCACAGTCCTCAATACGTGCACAGGTGGCGAATGCACGAAAAGAGTACGAATGTCTCCATGCAAGAGCATATGTATGCGTGTATGTATATGTGTGTGATGGTGTATAGGCCCTTCGCATCATTTTTTATTTATTTACCGCAGTCGAGAGAAGATAAAAGAAAAGCAATTATTATAATTGCAGGCGATATGCAGGCAACTAATTGAAGCAGCGTCGTAAGGTAGCCGAAGTGCAATCAAAACACAATAAGAAAATCTCGATATGCACATGCGCGCATCCAAGGCAGCAATGATGTGTGTGTCAGTGTGTGAGCTGGTGCATTCAAGTGGACCAGAAATATCTGTGAATGCAGTGCATTGTTCCGCTTAATTATCTTCAAAAATTAAAGAAATGCAACGACCGCAACACAACAACATCATCAGCGGTACCGCGGCGTAATGGCGCAGGCGCAGACGTAACCGCTCCATCTTTAGGGGTTAATGTGAGAAAACGCACACWAGCAGCACCAGAGAAACTTGGTGACTAAAGCTGTCGGCACAAGTGCACTGGCACCGGTACCGCGCGTTCACTCGTTCGTTCTATTCGCGAGTCCGTCTGCCCCATCATCCTGTCACTGTCAATACGAACTCATTTGTCTTCGAGGCCGCTGCTGCTGCGCTGCTTCTGCCACCGCCAATCTCTCTGCCTCAGTGAATGCTCGCATTGTCTGCTAATGGATCGGCGGCCAGCCAGCAAGCGTTGTGCCTCAGCATGAGCTGCGCTGCCAAATTTGAATGTCTCGCATCGATCTTCTATGCAGATGCATTGAACTTCTTTTGTGCRCGAATACAAATCTTCCGCTCTGCTCATTTAGAATGCATTTACAGTTGCAGTGAAACGTCAATCAAAATCCGCTGCTGCTGCCACTGCACCTGAGCTGTCTTGAAATCATTTATCTTTTTCCATTGCCCCTTACCCATTGCCATCTTCGTTCATCCATATCYATATCTAAAGGCGAACC